TTGTTTTCCTGAGAAACTATTTTGTAGATAATAATATGTAAAATGATAACCATTGATAATTTCCTACCATTTTGTCTGTAATTTGCTAAGTCCCCCCTATTATTATGTTATCCTTCTTTTATTCTTTAAAATAAAAAAAAAAAAGAAAAAAAAAAGAATTCTATACCCAGCAAATATAGCCTCTCCCTCAGCCCTGGGGTGAGAAAGATGTCCTCAGATAAAAGAAAGCAGAATGTGCCAGTGTGCAACTAGTTCCTAAGGGAAGTTTTTAGGCAGAAGGGAAATGGTATTAGAGGGAAACTTGAACAGTAGGAAGGAAGACCAGCAGATGTAGTAAATATCAGAGTAAATATAATAGGCTGGCTTTCTCCTGAGTTCTTTAAAATAAGACTGGAAGCCATAAATATAACACTGATTGCCAGACAGCACAAAATAACAACCACAACAACAACACCATAAATGGCCATGTAGGGGATCTGGATGGTGGGAAGGTTTCCTTGTCTCATCTGAAGTGATGAAGTAATTGTTTCTAAATTGACTATGAAAAGGTAAACATGTCTCTTGTGGTTCCTAGGGCAACCATAAAAAAGAGAAAAGAACTACACAAAGAGACATAATCAAAAACACATTAGAAATACAAATGGAGTGCTAAAAAATGTTAGGTGACACACAAGAAGGCAGGAAAATGTAAAATAGGAAAACAATAAAATGATATCAAATCAAGAACAATTGGTAAAATAGCAGACCTAAATCCAAATATATGAGTAAGTTATATTAAATATTATTGGAGTAAACACAGCAGTTAAAAGATAGGAATTATCCAAGTGGGTTAAATAAGTGATCCAATAATATTCTGTTTATAAAACCAAATATAACTATATATATAAGTTAAAAGCAAAAGGATGGATCCAAGAAGGTAAGAAGATAGTTTACATACAACGTAGGAGAAAAGTTTTGCAAACCATGTAACTGGTAAGAGACCTGCATCTAGAATATATAAAGTACCATTACAATTCAACAGTAAAAGAAAATATTAACTCAATTAAAAATAGGCAAAGGAGCAGAACAGATCTTTCTTTCTTTCTTTCTTTCTTTCTTTCTTTCTTCTTTCTTTCTTTCTTTCTTTCTTTCTTTTCTTTCTTTCTTTCTTTCTTTCTTTCTTTCTTTCTTTCTTTCTTTCTTTCTTTCTTCCTTTCTTTCTTTCTTTTGACAGGATCTTGCTACATAGTGGAGACTGGCCTTGAATTCACTTTATAGCCCAGGCTGGCCTTGAACTCATGGAGATTCTCCTACCTCAGCCTCCTGAGTGTTGGGATTACAGGCTTGTGCCACCACGCCCAGCTGGAATAGATATACAGAAAGATATAGATATTCAAAGAAGATACACAAAAGGTCAATAAAAGATGCTCAACATCATTAGCCATCAGGAAAATGCAAATCAAAATAATGAGATACCGGGGCTGGGGATTTAGCTCAGCGGGAAAGCACCTGCC